ATGCGTCATCATAAATTAAAGGCCCAATGTACCCTCAAAGGAGTTGTGTGAAGCTTGGATTTATGTAAGGTCATCATGTACTTATAAGATGATAAAGCTGTTAACTGGTTATGACTATCAATTTAATACTGATGCCTCTAAATGACCTACATAAACAAACAACCATTAGTGAAAAGCTTGAGATAGATACATTTCTATGAATCTTAATGCTTGCCATCGGGTTGTGTTCAGTTGGATTCTCCTTGTGCTTAATGAAACTAGGTGATGGAAACACTACCACTCTTGAGGTTGCCAGAATCAACACAAAAAGTTTCTTGTAGGGGTTTTAAGTACATTTAGCTGGTAATATTTTTATAGAGAGAGAGAGAGAGAGAGAGAGAGAGAGAGAGAGAGAGAGAGAGAGAGAGAGAGAGAGAGAGAGAGACAGACAGACAGACAGACAGACAGACAGACACACAGCAACAACAGTATTGGTAATGGCAATCTAGCAGGACCGTGGCAGGAGGCTCCACCAGGATCGATAAGAACCTGCGAGACGAGAAAGCACAAGAACTTCAGGGAAGAAGTGAAGTTAGTAACATGCATTAATGGAACATGAATGAGTGCAGAAAGAGAGAGGAAGAGAGGAGCTCAGTGCACCATGGGAAATCCCCCGATAGTCTAGGCCTATAGCAGCATAACTAAGGGATGGTTCAGGACTCACCTGATCGAGCCCTAACTATAAGCTTTATCAAAGAGGAATGTCTTAAGCCTACTCTTCAATGTGGTGAGGGTGTCTGCCTCCCGAACCACAACTGGAAGTTGGTTCCACAGGAGAGGAGCTTGGTAACTGAAGGCTCTGGCTCCTGTTCTACTTTTAGAGACTATAGGAACCACAAGTAGCCCAGTATTCAGAGAACGTAGTGTTCTAGAGGGGTAATAGGGTACTATGAGCTCTTTAAGATATGAAGGGGCCTGACCATGAAGAGCTTTATAGGTGAGGAGGAGGATTATAAATTATATTCTACATTTTTACACAATACACTGTGTTACTTTTATCTGAGTAAAGAGTACTTCTTCCGCCACTATGAAAAAACCTCTGTGCTTGAGAACAGGCTTGACGCTTATGGAGGTGATGGGGGAAGTGGAGGATTTTGTAGAACTTGGTTTGAAATGACCAACATTTAAAGGTGATTGGCTCATAGAATACAGGAAGAAAACTGGTTGTTCTCTTCAGGTGTTGTATAAAAACTGTGAAAGAGAGGACCTTTTGACTTGTGAAATTCAGAACACTTCACACAGAAATGCCCTGCCAGACCTTCCATGGAGCCGGAAACAGGTAAAAGCTTGAGAAGAGAATTCCCAACTAGACTGAAGGTCAAAGAGAGAGAAACTATCTTTCTCAAGTCTGGTCAGATGTTTTTCACACTTTTTCTAATGTAGACCTAAGGAAGATAATTTATTACTTTAATTATAAGACACACGACCAAAAACCTGATACAACATGAAAAATGTCTGTGTCAGGATAATCGTTAAAATGCGTCATAATAATGACATAATTTAAACATTTGGATGATGATGGTTTATTCAGAGCAATTGCACAGGTAGGAGTTCAGTATCTGTAAATGAACATGTTGCTCAGCTGGACTGTGTGTGCATGACAGTGAGGAGATTATTACCCAAGGCCAATATGTGAAGTGAAAGCATGTTCCCAGAGCTGGTTAAAGTGTTAATCATTAGCTATGACAGTTAGACAGTAGATACAGAACTGTGGTTCTGCGCAGGATGTTCTTCCTTTTTGAATAATGTAGAAGATATCACATCAGTATCATATTTGATAGAGAAACCCATCCCAGACATCTCATTGTGAACTTTGTTTTCTCCCATTTGTCGAGTGCACATCTTACTTTTAAAATGTGTTTTTATCGTCATGTGTTTTTACCACAGACCAACAGAGAACAAAGCTGTGTTTTCCATCAGATCTTTAAAAGCTGAGAGTAAATATAAACATGGGAGGGAGAAACTCTGCTGATTGTATCTTTTGACCCACAGGGTCATGGGACACGATCAGATGCCCCGATGTGTGGAACTTCTCATGACTTTAGTTTTGCATGTGTAAGTGTGTGTGTGTGTGTGTGTGTGTGTGTGTGTGTGTGTGTGTGTGTGTGTGTGTGTGTGTGTGTGTGTGTGTGTGTGTCTTTCCCAAGATTGTTGCACACATCCTCTTTGCTGAAACAAGTATCTAGTCAGGCCAGATGCAACACAGAGAAGGCAGAAATGAAAGTCAAAGTCAGCTTTTATTTTCATTGTGAAAGATGGAGGAAACACCTTACAACACGCCCATATTTTTGCAGACATCTGATCCATTTGTTTTGAATAAATATATTATATTTATTATTATATAAATATAATATTATTATTGTTTTAAATATATCAAGCTGTTACCTTAAGTGATAAAAACAGAAGAAACCTTAACAAATAAAGAAAACAGCAATGAAAATAATGTTCATATACCCATAATACATTTAAATTAAATTAAGTCATTCATATTCAAAATGAATGTAAAACTAAAAATGTAAGATTAAATAAAGCAGACAGTAATGCTGACAAGTACAAATCTAACAATATTATTTTGCTCAATGCAGAACACATGTTCTCTGACTCATCATGTGCTTTTTTCTTCCTGATGTGTCAATACTGAGGCGTCTTTCCACAAAGCTTACTCAATACATGCAACAAACAAAAACACCTCCACAACAAACAAGATAAACCAAGTCAAAACCCCTCATATCACTTAAAGTCATTAGTGAGTCATCGTTTCAGATCCTGGCTAACATGGAAGTAGTAAATGAGATCCTTCAGTGAATGTGATGCTGTAAATGATCTTGCTCTCATATTACAGAGGCAGACAGGATTAGAGGAGACAACACAATGCTTCATGGCTCATTGAACAGCAGTGACTCATACTATATATATATGAGCTTGACTTACTTAAATTGTAAATAATTTGCTAAGATTAGTCCTGATGAAAAAGTGATATATGCAAAAAATAAAGCCAAATATTCACAACAATCTAATTCACAACAAAGTGCTTCCATGTGGCCAACAGCTTATCTGATATTACCTAGAAATTAAATGTCTTTAACACACCCATCTGGTACATAAAGGAAGTTAAATAAACACCACAACTTATTTGCAAAAGCTTTTTGTCAGTTTTATAGAAGACAACATTATGCATATTTGATGCAAATTACCTTTTGTTTTTCTCCCAGTAAAGTGTGCTGATTTAGAGCCCATAATTGTCCTTCATTTGAATAGGGAAATGTGTGTGTGTGTGTGTGTGTGTGTGTTTATGTGTGTGTATTTTTATTAGATCCCAGCTTTAGGCATGTAAAAGGGTTTGGACGTTTGCACTGCTTTCTGTTTTGTGTTGTGGTAGGGATAGGAAACAGTTTCTATAGAGATTTAGTCATTGGTCTGGGGTTAATGGGGGGGGTTACTGTGTGAGCGGCAGGACAAATTGTTGTCTCGTTACTCAGCAGACAGACATTAGCTACACTTGGTGCTGTAGATACCAAGTTTATGGCAAACAAGACTCAACATAAGATCCTGTATCCTTCTATTAGCCTAAATTAAATGTTGATACGTGTATATTGTAGGTCAGAAAAAAGACTTGCAATGTGTATTTCAGGTGTGTTGAAGAGGAGCTTATTGTCTTATCTAACTTTATTATCCCACTCACCATTATTACCCCAGTCAAAAACACTCAAAATTTAGCCTATGCAGTTTTATAGATGGATCTATTTATTTAGTTAATGTTTATTCGTGCCATGGGTCATAATTATCACACACTTGTTGAATGAATGACGATGTTTCAATCACAAATATATAATATAATATAAAGTTTTTTTAATGAGTACATCAAACTAGCATTTCTCTCCCTGCAGAGTAATGTACAGCTGAAAGCACTGATTACATACAGTAGCTATATAGTCTAGAAGCACCTACATATACCACACATCAATTGATATTACAGGTAGAACATTTTTAACATTTAAACACAGCTCTACAACACTTGTATTATGTGGAGCTGATTCAATATCTATATATATGGATCTGTAAATGCAATCTGTTTTTTAAAGTATTGACACTTTCTTTAGACTGGACTGTGTCTTTAACGAAACAACAAAGTACATTTCAGCCTTTGCTGCCATTAGAATTCCTCCTCTTGGAGGAAATGCCTGAGACACCACCTACTGTAACCACCATGCTGAACATCACTGTTTGCATCTGCGGTCTTCCCACTCTCCCGAAAGCTATGCAATTATCCATGATGGGCCTTCAACCATGGTTATCACATATGTTTTTGGAATGTAATTTGGAGATGGAGAGGGAGGGAAATGGAGACAGGAATTCACTGAGAGACCTAAAAAATGTGACTTTTTAAGGGTGTGTCATTCTCTTTGATAAAAATCTCCCTTTTTATCTATTCTAAACTATTATAAACTAAGTGATCACATTTTAGTGAAAGAGGCAGAAGTCAAGAAAAGAATCAGTGTCATTTAGAATTTATATTTCCACCAATGTCTTCTAACCTCTCAAAATGAATTTAATACACATGAACATAAACAACAACATTTTATTTGTAATTGAAGAAATGAAGGCACCTTGAGTGGAACATAATGCCAGTGTGATTTGCCAAGTGTATTCATGTGTGTCTTTGTTCCTACGGTTGTCTGTGATACACACTCACAGGGGAATAACAAAGCAAATCAGCTCCATCTCCTTCTACTGATACACCCGAGGTCAGGTGCAACTAGAGACTATGCCGCCCCAACACACAACAACTGCTCTATGTCCCTGGTGTCTGTGTATGAAAGAGGATTGACAGGTGTTTACGTTCAGCTTAAAATCTGAGTGAGAGTGTGTGGATGACTGGGTTCCGCTGGGACTGGGACTCCATTCCATATTTACCATTAACACAGAACACATTTCAGTTCATTAACACCTGGAGGGGATCATGCATGTATGTGTGTATCTGTCCGCAGATTAATACTACTGGACCCATCAGCCTGACATTTTTTGTTTTCAGTTATGACTGTATGCTGAAGGACCTCTCGTGGTTTGTGGTGATTCCCAATTTTTGGAAAATCTATTTAATTTACTCCTCACTCCTCTTTGCTATCCAGAAGGGGTCGCAAGTGATCAATGACTGCTTCAGTTTGGAATCTTTCTGTTAGGAACACTGTACGTGGTGGTGATGTTAGTGTTGGCCGATTCTTATGTTGGCATTTTCACTTTCACAGTTTACGCTGTTGCTGATGTTTTGGAATTGTTCCTCTCCAGATTTGCATGCCAAGGTAAGACAACTGTGATTTGTATCAATTCAATCAACAATTACAGCAGTGGTCCTTGAAAAACATTCAGTAATGTAAGCCAGCTGCTGAAATGCCTTGGTCGATTAATTTATCACTTTTGGTGGTGATACATTGGGCAACTTTTTGGTCAACGTGACAGGACAATGAGCTTGCCAACAGGAATTAACATACACTGAAAATGTCAATGTCAATTTAACACAAAGCCACTGTCTTTAAGTAGAGTTGGGTACTGACTGAATTATGTTGGTACTACCAAATACCTCTTCACGTTAGATCAGTTGGTGCCAAACTTTAGAGTGGGAATCCAACATAAAGCTTAGACTTTTGTCCACAATTATTTTATTTGCAGTATTTGGCTTGGATAAAAACAAGTCTTACCTATTCTGTTTGTCATGGCTCAAAAACTGACATCCACAGAAAAAGTTTATCTCATTTGCACATTAATTCCATACATCTATTTTGTATTCAGCTCAATACAAGTACCTATCACAGTCCTTTTAAAACAAAGCAGGCAATACTGTCTGCTTTATATGGACATTGTGTCCGAGGTTTCCATATAACCTGTCTACTCTGGTTACACCCTGATGATTAAACCTTTATATTGTATCCCATTCACACACAGCCTGCCCTGCACTCTCTGTTCCCAACCCACCCAGACACACCTGGCAGAGATGTGCACTGCACTCTTTTAGTTACAACCTGGTTCTTATTTTTGTAATGTTAGTTCAGGCCATCACTTATATTGGTTATGATAACAATACATGATACATTTTCCTGACTGGATTCATTACTGAAGGGCTAAGGAACATGAGCAGTTAAAGATCATTCAGGTTTTGAACAAATGTGTTATGTGGTAACTTAATGTCAGGTACTGTATGATAAAATATTATCAGACGAGTGGTATTTACTTAGATGCAATCTGCAACGTCACTGTTGTGCCACTAAATCCTACACAATGGTACATTAAATGTAAACCTACAAGTCTATCTCAACAAAACTCAACTTGAAACCCCAGTTTTAACTCTTAAATAACCCCTTAAAGAACTATAAAATGTTCTTTATTTGGTGAATTATACTCTTCTTTGATCCTAGTAGTATGGGAGCATTGCACATAAATACAAGAACATGTACATGTAGAGGCATGTCTTTTTTTCTCTCAGGGGAAAAAATCCCTCTTCATTTGGACTCCAGACATTCAGTTTTATTTTGCTTTCACTTTTTCAGAAAAACAATCACAAACATTTCAGCTTCTTTACTCCTCTAAGTTCTGCACTCACATAAAGGCTAAAGGTTTCTTAAGCCAGACTTGGACACGCCCACTCAAACAAAAAGTGTACACAGAGAGTTGATCAGTTCAACTGATGCATGTATGACCGTTGAATGTTTGCCTGACAGCTCAAAGCACATAGTGGAGGTAATATGATGCAACACAGCTCATGGTGCTATGGTCACATTTCATCTGCATCCTCTGTGTACTTTCAGCTGTCAGGGAAATGTACAGTAGCTCAGTCAACAAATCAAGTTTGAGTACACATTGAAAGGCTTGAATGAAAAGTGACCAGACCAACCAGTCAGTGATGTAGCACCTGCCATTAATGTTTTTTCTTTACAGACCTGATGGCTATTCATATACAAATACTGTGAAACAGACTTTTAAAGGATCAGCATGTAGAATTTAGTGGCATCTAGCAGTGAAGTTGCAGATTTCAACTAACCGAACAGCGCTCACGTCTGCATTTGACAACCTGAGAATGGGAACACCCAGTGTTTGCTTTAAAAATTTAACAACTGTACATAGTTTGTAACTGCCCTCCTGACTGAAGCAGGATGACATTGATATGACAACATGAGTCATTGCCTTCCAAACATGTTACATCACTATTACAAAAAAACCAAACTGTTTTCTGATTCAACACATCTGTGGTTAAGCTTTGGTCAGATTCAGGTACAAATTGGTTGGTTAAGGTTATAAGATGGTTTGGAGTTTAAGATAACTAGCTTTGTTGTAAAGTTTGTTGTTAAGTTAAGGGAATGGAACAAAATATTTTCACACACGAAAGGGCCAAGCAAGATGTTTCCAGTGAGTTTGAGAATAGGCAACAACCACACAAGTATCCCAATCAGTGGGAGCCACTCCCACTAAGTAAAAAAAAACAAAACAGTAAGACACCTTTAAAACAAACCAAATCCGTGGGATTTATTAATGTAAAGAAATACTAACAACCATGACACTAAATCAAGAGTACCACAAAATCCCAGACTGAGAGGCACTAACACCAGTAATCCCCACTCCAAAAGCCTCTGACTACTGGTGCTGGCACAGTGCTTTTAGGCACCTCATCACAGGTTAGGTGCGCCTCATTTAGTAATCAGCACACCTGAGCAGAGCTAGAAGGAGCAGAAGAGGAAAGGGACAAACAGAACAGGTAAACACATACAGCCCTAATTTAGCTTGAGGAGTAACAGATTATATGTAACTGGGTTACATAATCAGGATACAAAAAAAAGGTAACTGTAATCCATTACTCATTTTTGATGCTAAAAATCTTTCCATTTTCTTGTCCAGGGTTACATTGTTCTGTTGTCTTATACAATACACTTGCATCAATACTTCTTATTGACACATTTGTTGTTGAGGTAACCCAGAAGAAAAAGAAAGTAATCCAGTTACGTTACTTTAAAATTGTGATACTTGGACTAGGGTACTGATGACATTTTTCAACAGGTAATTAGTAATTGTATCGGATTACATTTTTAAAGTAACCCTCCCAACCCTTAAGACTAGCTTCTGTCACGAAAGAATATAGCCTACTGCTTATAAAATACAGAACTGGGGAGAGATGGTACATATGGTTTGTAGATGTGATGTCAAGCAAAGACACTTATGGAAAGAGAAAAAGAAAAAAAAGTTAGTGAGAGGAAAGTCTGGTTACCCGACAGGAATGTGTTATTTTAAAAGGAGAAGGCAAAGTAAAGAGTAGAAATAAACAGATGAGTATTTTAAAAAAAAGCAAAGCCACATGTAGTTATCAGCTGGTCCACATGTCCTCTTGGCGACCTTTTCCAACTTTATCTGCCTAACATCTAATCAGAAATGTGAAACCGCTCTGAGAATACCGGTGCCGAAAGTCGCTGCATGCTTTTTAAGAAAATGCTGACTCTGGGGAACATGGGTAATGTTACAGAGAAGCCAGGCCTCTTCATTGCTTGCCATAATGCGGTGTAGTAATACGCCTCCTGGCTAATGTATCCTGCTGGTGAGGTGCTGCCTGCCCTTGACTGAAATTCATCTACTCTGGTATGCTGACACAGAGATCATGGAGGCTGGGGTGGCTATAGCCTGCCTGGACAAGTACCTGGAAAGTTGATGGGCTGAATCCCAAGAAGGGCTGGAGAAGAGTGATTGAGTAACATCAGCAGCTACCATCATGATAAAGGATTTTAGTCCATTAAGTGATAATGGTTTTAGACTTTTTCATCCCCTCCAACAACGAATCTTTGCCACCTGTAATGACAGTGTGACTATGGTGGAGGCCGCAGAACATTTGCAAATTGTGAGGGCAGTGTGAGCGGTTTGCAAAAATTGCTTCTTTTTTTAGGAAAATTCAGTACAAAATTCAGTGGAAGTTTTTTTGAAGTAAGGGAATATTAGTATCATGCAGTGTTTGTTATTCTGCAATAGATTTTTTGTAATGAAAATAAATAATAAAAAAAAAAAATTTTTAACCATAATAAAGTGGTTATCATTGCATAACTTTAATTATGTATTTAATAAACTGCTGTTTCAACATGCAAGAAACTGCACTGCATCATCAAGAAGATTCATTTTTCATGTGTTTTGATGAGGTTTGTCTCTCTCAGTATTTGTAGCTCATGCACTAATTTTGGTTCATTATGAATAAAAATAAATTTTCTTGGTAAATTCCCAGAGTGGAACAAACACTGTTTCATTTGTTTAATTAGCCCCATTTTATGCTGTAGGAGTCAAAAACTTTCCCCTGAACCTGTCCTTCTATAGTAGGTACAAATTCTGGTGCCAAACCAGTGAGGCATAAAAACCAGTACTTTAATATTCACACTACCTACAGGTGTTATAACATCTGTAGCAGATTACCAGTGAAGTTCAACAGACTTTATGGTTCTGTTTTTTAGGAAGTAAATGCACCAGAAAAATTTAGCAAATAGACTTCTGGCAAAGTGACTCAGCACAGGAAGAGACAGTGAAGTAAAACCCCTTCACATCGAAAGTTACTCTGAAATTTCTTGTTTTTACACAGAATGCAACTTAAGTTACTGTAAATTCTTGAGTGAGTGGCATCGAGGCTGTGCTTCTTTGCTCACTTCCTTTTTCTGTGGTTTGGTTGTCATAAATGATATTACTAACAAATTTTTACTTAAATTCTTACAGAGTCAGTCTTATTTGCTTTAGAAGCCCCCAGGAGGTGCAGACTCTTGACAATGTTGAAGCAGTTGTTACTGTAAATATAGAGAAGAAGAATCAATTTATAAATAATGAATGCTTTCACTATGATGTTTAAATTGTACTCCAACCCCACCTCCATTTCTCCCTCCATCCCCCTCTCATGCCTCCCATCCTTCATTTCTTTATGTTTTACTTTGATATATTTCATGTATTGCATTTATATATTTCTATGTGCTGTGCTGTTGTTTTGACTGATTTTGACCTTAAAATTCCCAAAACATCTTCAGCCAAATCAACAATATCTAGCTATGTTGGCTTTATCAGCTGATATCAGTCAGTGAGATTACTGCCTCCACTCCAATAAATGAATAAGATGAATGGAATTTCCTTTGTGGTTTTCAAAGCACATAAAAATTACATTGTCAAAATTCAACAGCAGTGTGTCGTTGTCGAAAAAATGTCAGTTTTGATAATACATAGACCTCGCTGTCAAGTCCGTGGATTATCTAGAGTAACCTGACCCTGACCAATCCTTAACCCTAGCTTTGTTACGTAAAAA